TTATGCCCGCCGGGCGTAAGAACAAGTGACCCCCTGAAAACGCTTGGGGCTGGGAACCAGCCAAGGCTTTTCCAGGACTCGTGGGAGCGGCGCAGTGGCAGCGTCTGATACCTACACCAAGCAGCGTATTCGCTTTGTCGAATTACCTATAATTCGTCGCACGGACGCCCGTCATCTCGATCTACAGACGGCATCACTGGCATCACTGGCATCGCCCGCGTCACCAGCAATGACGTCTAGCTGATTCCCGCTCTGACGAATTAGCTAATTCGTCGCGCGGTCGTAAACCACTTAGCAAGTAGATAGTCTGCACGGCTGACTTTTTGGCACTTACTTCTCAAAGAAGAGACCGAGGTGAAGACTGACAAGCTTCCAAACAAGGCGCGCGGTGCTTCCCCCGAAGCAATCCCAGTGTTGACTTCGAAGCGAGCTGGAAGTTTTACCCCCACACACTTTCAAATATTGCTTGTACAAGTGTGCGATGCAGGAGCTAGAGCTGTTGAACGCCGGTGGGGGGGGGCCCTAATTGGAGAGACAATTGTAGTGGGTGTTGAAGTAGGCCAGGGCCAGCCACTTGAAGCAACCTTGACAAAGTTAACGGATATGTCCCTAGGCCTTGTCCACGTGGTCCGCGCAAAGATCAGCGCCTGTTGACCAGCAGAAGAGTCTCACAATCAAGGAATCGGACACCAGCGCCTCCATCAAGCCCTGGCAGCACGAGATGGAGCAAGTGACAGCCCTTTGCAAGCTTGCTCAGCTACATGCCCACTTCAACACTTCGTACGAGTTCTAGGACATGTTTTTGGCAAAGCCCGTTCCCGGGCTGCTGCCGGAATGCGTGCTGCGGATTGCTGGCACATGGGCCTCTAGAATCGCGCAACACTTAATTTGAAAGCATTCCAACACTGAGCCGTACACTCGCGGACCTTTCCAGGTCCATTTGCAGCCATTTTCTTTTGTCTACCTACAATTGTGCCGACTCTTGGGGCGCCAAACGTGGAAAATGTATTACATACACCCCTGGGACACACATATGTGTTCAACTGCTAATATGTGCACGTGGAACAGACGTGTGTTCACTTGGAACACAATGAAACGCGTATCCAATTCAGACACACAGTGTACACGTGGAACACGCGTGTGTTCACCTGGAACACAAACACGTCGATGACCGGCGAATGGGTTGTCCTTGCATGGCGGTGCCCAGCTGGCTGTCGACGCCACTTTGGTCTCGCGCGCGCCGCGCGGGGCGAACGCTGGGCGCCGCTCCTTTTGAGGCGCGGAAGGAGCGTGTCTATCCCGAGCTGCTGCGATCCAACCGTTGCCGGCTGGTCCTCGCGCTCGAGGCCGGCGGCCGCTGGAGCAACGAGGCTGCAAGCTTCATCCGCGTCTTTGCTCGGCCCCACTCCCGGGAGGCTGCGCCTGCCCTACGCCCGGCCGGCGTTGCAGCTCTGGTCGCTCGGTGGTCAGCCCTGCTCTTTTTTGCAGCCCAGTTCTCCTTTGCCGAGTCCTTGCTGGAAGGGCGGGTCACTGGCCAGGCCCTGCCCGGACTGGAGTGCGCAGCTTGCCGACTCCACCTGCCCGCCACGCACTGGCAGCCCTCTGCCTCGGTGACGCCCTCTTGGGCCGCGGGCCGTCGGGATATAAATTTCCAGCTTGATGCACGTGAGGAGCTGGCCTCCCGAAAAAGCAGCCACCCAAACCCTTTCTGCCCATAAATGATTTTTTTTGGAGGGGGGCAGAGCCAGGCGACGGAAAAAGGCGTGCGAGAAAAAAAACACGTGCAATTAAAGCACGCGTCTGTGTACATGTGGGACACACATATGCATATACCACTGGAAAGCGCCCGGCGCCCCAGCAGCGGCGTCGCCAGCGTCGGCTGGGAGCTGAGGCTGGCCACGAGCGCCCTGCGCCGCGACCGCCGGCAAGTGTCCCACCGGCGCGCATAGGCGGCGGCAGCCTTGCCTCGCTGGGGCCAGGGCCTTGCCCCGCGCGAGGCGTTGCAGGAACGCTTCCGTTTCGTCCCCCCCAAACACCCCCCAACCTTGAGAGCGACGACAACGAGGCGGCACCGCGCCGCGCCCTGGAACTCCGGGTCAGTGCTCCGGCGCTTGTTGCCTCTTGCCTCCCACAAGGCAAGCCCGCTAACGACGACCTCCAGCCGTCGCCCCCGAGGGTGGAGCTCAAGACATCTCTCGACACCACTTCCCGCTTGTTGCTGGAGGCCGTAGTTGTAGGAGAACACCCCACGGCCATGGAAGAGGGGCATGGTGCAGCGGGTGACAAACAGCACCTCGCCCTCGAGCGGCGCGCTTGCGTACGCGTCGCCAACGTCGGTAGGGAGCTGGCAGAGGCTCGCAGCGAACGCGCCCTGCGAGCATGGGCTGGGGGACCACGGGCGACAAATGAAGGGAAAAGAGCGACAAATGAACCCGTCGACCCAGCGAACCGTGTCAAGCATCCAGGCTGGGAGACATTGGGAAATAAATGAACCTTTCCACCCAGAGAGCCGTGCCAGGCATCGACGCACCTCCTCGCAACTGCCTCAGCGGAACGACCGCCAGTAAAAGCTCCAGACAAGGTTGACCCCTTCATCAGATAAAATACGGTTAAACCCGAACGCGAAGGCGGGCCGCGCCGCACCTGACTGCGTCTGAAGGCGCTTGTTGAGAGGAGCGTCCAGCGCAGCATGGAGGCGCGAGACGCGGAAGACGGTAGTGTTGAGGATGGTGGAGAACTCCAAGATCCTTGCAGCGCCGAGCAAGCAAGCGCAAAAAGTCTGGAGCCCAAGGCCGCCGGCTATCGCCGGCTTCGACGCCAAGCACGGCAACGGTCACTGCCAAGGACGACTCCTCCTTGCTCCAGGCTCACGCCAAGAGTGCGTGCCGTCAAGAACGGGGGGCAACATCGAGCCGCTAGACAACATCAGCCTGGAGGCCTACATGCGCGGCTCGGGGCAAATCCTCGGCTTCCAACAGGTCCAAGAAGCAGCGTCATACGCAGCAGCAAAGCTAAGGGAAGCAGCGGGTCACCCTAGCCATTCTGATTAAAAGCGCGGTGGCCCAGCGGCCAAAGCCAAGACCCAACAAAAACTTAAGGCTTTGCTGCCACAAGTTTTGACGCGAAGCTGGGTTTCGAATTCTTGAACATGTTCCTCGTTGCCAAGCGCGGTGTGATATGATCGAGCTGACGGTTGTGGTAAATGCTGATTCCGAATGCCTGGCCAATATGGGGAGGCCCTTGTTTAGTGCGCTTGCATGTGCCAAGTTGCGCTGAGCGCCCGAGTCTGCTGCGCGCGTATGTGTGGCCACGGACTGCTCTTCTGGCCGTCAGCGCGCGCCGTAGCCCGACAATGGAAAAAGGCTTGTGGAAAGAAAGAGTTGCGCCTGGAAAAATTCCGACTGTGTATGTTTAAGTTGCTATGCAAAAAAGTGTCTCGAGACCCTTGACAGGCCGGGAATGTGGCAGCTCGTGTTCCGTTTAAATGAGGCCAAGTCCCCCAGTTATGGTTCAAAACTATAGTTGAATAACATGTCCACCGTGACTTTCTGAATTTCCTTGAGAATCCCAAGAACAAGGCCGCTTTCCCAAAACATCCTTTGTTGAACAGCTAAAGTCATGTTTGCCAGCGTCCCGTTTCGCAATGCGAACACCACAGTTTGACGGGGTTTGTTCATGCGTGTTCTGCAAGTCGTTTCAGGTGATGTGAGCGGCGCCGACGAGGATTGCCCCGCACACAGTCACGAAGTGGTGGGTGATGCCGAGCCCGGGCGCATGGGATTTCCATAGAGTCCAGCCGTGTTGGAATCGTGTCATGAAGGTCTCGCACGATTCCAGACTGCCTCGTGGGCTGCAATGGATCTGTCGGCGCGCCACCAAATGCCGTCGGATGGTCAGGTTCATTGACCCCTCACAAGTGCAATGGGTTGATGTCTTACCGTTCGCTTGGCCCGGGCACTTCCTGGTGCTGGCTGGTGCGCAACAACCTGTCAAGTACGAATGTTGCTTGCCTGAGACCTTGTTGGCCCGCACATGCTCCCTTGTAAGCGTCGGGCATGTTGTGTGGAAGCCCAAACATGGCAACAGATTGACTGGTGAGAGCAGGCGCGTCTGCAGGCGTCTGCAGGCTAGCAAAGACGTTAAGGTTTTGTGTGCGAGAACACCAAGATCTTCAAGCAACTCTCTGCTGCAGCCATCCTGAAAAGAAGCAGGCAAAGAAAAGAAAACACACAACTTGACGGAAAGTGTTATGCAGAGTAAACACGAACGGAGACCTGGTCGACGCTTCCATCTGTTCTCATGCCGCTAGGGCAGCCAGCAGCGTCCAGCAGAGTCCTTCAGCTTTAGATCGCCATCCGGGCCATCCGGCCACCGGGTGTGACGTCCACTGCCGCAAGCCCGGATGGGGCTGTGCATGACTTATCCGTGCAGGAAGCAAAGGCAAAGAGGGAACGGGGACTAGCAACGCCACAAAAAACATCCGGAGTTCAGCTTGCATCGAGCGCTGCTACGTACGGTCTTGGAGGATGGCGAAGCCGTGGCAAAGAAATGCCACAGGTGCTCACTAAAGGTTGGTTTCTGCAATGTGCTGAAGCATGGGAATGCTCCTAGAGTGGTTCAGCTTTGCTCCAAGCGACGTGGAATTCATGGAGCCGTGGAGTTTGCCTTGAGGCTGTTCCATTGCAGTTGAATCGGTTTCTGCAGCAGCCCTAAACCCTTACAGCTGCGCAATGCGGCCGCAGCGGTGTACCACCTAGGAGGGCAGCGTTTGCCGTTCGCCACTTTGGACAGAAACGAGAAGCGGCCGCTGGCGTTTCTCAGGACGTCCCAAAACACACACCCGGTCTAGCGGTCTGCCTGGCGCAAGGCTGTGGCTCTTTTGCTCACCTTCTCAGCATGAGCAGCCAGTACTGTTCTTGTGACACATAGGTGAGACCGTGACATCTTTGTCAACTTTTACACGTCTCGAGGTGTGGCTTCAGCAGCACCTATCACGGCTCTCAGTCGCTTCGTTCTGCCAGGAGTTCCTGCAGTTTTTTTTGTGCGTGGAAAAATCATATCCAGCGCCTTCGCTCTGGGGGCAGGACCTCAGTGAGGGCCTGCTGTGGCGACTGCGGCGCCTTTTGCAGCAGTGGGTGGGGAATCCCGGGAATTCGCAGCCCAGCCTCGGCGGGAAGCCTTTGCAAGCACGGTGCCGAAGCAGACCTGAGCTTTTCGGATGGAACGTTCAGGTATCAACTGGAAATGAATGTAAGTGCCCCACCCGGGCAGCTTCAATTTGGACCCGACTTTCTTGAACCTGGTACTATTTAAAGAATCGCATTGCCATTCAAAGTATGGGGTTTTCATCTGCATAAGCATGCCCGTGACGACTTGGTGAGCTTGAACGGCTCCTTTGGCTCCTACAATAGCTGCATGCGGCAACTCCATCACTGAGGCTATAAATGCAAGAGCGCACCATGAGCACGACAAAATCAGGTATTCCACAGCATGCCGGCCTTCGGATCTCTCCACTCCTTCATTCTAATCCGAGCATCGTGAATCTGCTGCTTTGATGCCTGGCTGGACTTCACCGTTTGTTTTTGTATGACCAAGAGTCATGTCAAGGTACCAATTCCCCACAGGACAATACAGAATGCAGATTCAGATTCGTTCATGCAAATTCCAAGGCCTTCGTAAGCTTGATGAGCCTCTTCTCTTGCTTCTGCTGATGCTCCTGGCGCTGCTTCAGTTGAACAACCAGAACAGGGATCCTCACATGAAAAACACCTGAACATTGCCTTGTAAATGGTGGTTTCCCTTACTTTGGTGGAAAAAGCCATGTTTCAAATGGTTGTATCTTTAGCCCTGCAGAATCTCATTGGATTGCCTCGAGGCCGCGATAGTGCATCGCTAAGGCCTCCCGGGCAAACACTTGCAACAGCACCCAAGGACTGTACATGGCGAAGCCCCTTCCTTTGCAGAACACGAACATCCATTGCCGATATCTCTCATGGTGCGGGTTGCAAAGAAGCGAGGCTGAAAGCGGGCGTGCCTCTTCCGACTCTGTGGCATATTGGTTCCCAATCTGGCACGAACGACTAATGAATGCCGAACGTCGCAACTGGGAATTGGGTGTGCGTCAAAACAAATAAAGCAATCCAGTATGCAACAACCAGAATTGCGATCCCAGCGCACCACGTGGGTGATTGGCGTGGAGGGCCGAGACTTGCTGCCATAAGCAAACCTGGCTCAAAGGGCATCGGGCGACATAAGCCACTGTCCAAACTTGTGTCCCCAACAGGAATAGTAAAATTCGTGTCCCCTGGTGTTGTGGGAACCGTGGTGAGTTCCCCATGTCCCTCCCAAATGAGCCACAGAATTCCACAGAGCAATGGAAATGCTGACCAAACCTCACAGGCAAGCAGTCCATGCCAGGCAGACGAAGGAATCACATCCGACGGAATGACTTTTGGAAGTACACCGACAGGACCAGGTGGTACTAGCTTGATGTCGTTGAACCTTCTAAATTCTGATAGGTCGCGTGCATTCCTGAGCTGTACGTGAATACGTAGTCCAGCTTGCTGCAAGTGTTACACTCAAGTGTGGCAGTCCTGACGCCAGACTTTGCAGCTGTGCGATTCAGCTTTCTAAAATCCTCAAAAGCTGCGGAATGCAACACTCATCTAGAACCTAAGCATCTACCCCTTCTGACCCTGATCACATTCCATGCCAGACTTAGCTTCATCGTTTCGGCGTCCTGGCAATCTGGCCCAGGCTTGGGTCGCGGAACGTGGGAGGCCCAAAACATCGTAACCTCGCAAGTCATCGCATGTCAAAGGTCATCGTACTGATTGAATCTAATATAAGGCCTCTCTGGCGCCCTCTGCATCAGCTGGTTCGCTGCGACCATATGTGAAGCCCTCACAAAGCACCAAGTTAAGTCGGGGCAGTTTTGTTCATCTCGCAAAGCAAATCGGATCGTCGCTCTGATTTTCCCTCGCGCTCGAGAGCACGACGAGGCAAGCCCTCATTTGCCTGCGAATAACACATGAGCACTCCCTCCGATGCCTGCTTCACAGAGCCAACGAGAATGGCTGCAGGACTTGCGAGCCTTTGCGAGGAGTAGATGTCCGCGACCTCTGTCGTAGCTTTTCAGCTGCTGCCTCAGAAGAATGTGTCCACGTATTGAGCCTTGACAAGCCACTTGACCGGCCTCCTGCGTCATTTGGCTTTCCGATGTTGACAGTGCGGGAACCTCATCGGGGGAGACCTGCGCAAACCGAAAAGGCGGCACCGGACCTTGCATAACACCGTTTCTGCTTGGTACAAGTGCAATGCTGCAGCCTTGCTAGACATCGCCAAGACGAACAAGAGCGTTCCTGACGGCCATTGGCTCGCCCGTTGCAAGACCCAGTGCCCCGCACCTGCAGCGCAAAGCAGCAGCAAGCCGCCTAGCCAGCTGCGGAAGTCGGCATGTGGCTGGCCGCAGATGGTGTACCAGGAGCTCACGCCATCTCAGTGGGAGTCCGCAAGCCGATAGGCGCTGTGATGCTATGGCTGGCCTCTCATACCCTCCTCAGGTGCAACACGCGCCCATCTGCCAGAAGCCTAGCCAACAAGGCGAGGGTGTCAGGAATTCAAGAGCACAAAGCAGCGTTCAAAGCAATACAAATCGCGGTCAGATTGAGATTCTAGCAAGCAGCCTCCAAGCTTGCAGTACAGTTGAAATGGAAATACGCGCTTGGAAAGCGGTCTCTGCAAATGTATCGCCTCAGTGAACCATCCTTCAAAGCAAGTCAAGGTCATTTGCTTTGCAGAAATAGCCTGGCATGAAACTGAGACATGAGCTTTCTTTCGTAGCCCATAAGATCAACGTCTGTTGCGTCACAGGGACCGAATTGCTGATGGACACCTGTCGAAACCTGGTTCGTTGCCAGGTTTCATGTCTGACGGAGTGGGCGTCCCGGCCTGCTTCTCTGGAGAGAAAAGAAGGCCGACAAGGATCAGCGTCATGAAATACGTGCACATAGCAGTTCGCACAGACCAATGCCTGAAGCATGCGGTCTGAGTGGCTCAGCATGAGTTTGAAAGCATCGTAGCCAAGGCTCTCTGGGCCATTCAAAGGATTCGCCTTCCTTTCGGGCCAAGCCTCGCCAGAAACCATGAGAAGTTCAAGGTCCCTTGAGATGCTGACAACCATATGGCTTTGAGAGGAAACACTTCCAAAATGGTTGGTGGACACAAATCATCAGAGAGTGCAAGAAAATTGTTCACACAAAGAAGGCACCCCGCCTTGAGTTTGGGTGCTGCTACGACAAGTGCGATGCAGCACACTGCAGCAGCGAGGACGGTCTGTGGTCCAGGCATGCCAATCCTGTCAAGAACATGTGTCCACCTCAAAATCCAGATCTCCAACACACAAGGTCAAATGGCTTGGATGGTGTGGATAGGTTGGATGGCTTGAATAGTTGAATGAATCGAAGCCCACAAGTGATGCAAACAATGTGATGGAGAATATGCTCCACAACGAGCAGTACACTGATTTGCCTTTCAGGCAGGGTTCAAATGAGCAGTGTCCTAAACCCAGTTGCGGCCGAAGAGAAATATCAAATCCCTTCCGCGAAGGCTTCCGCGGAGCTTGCGCGGCATGAAAGGTTCCTTCCGCAAGAGGATTGAAGAGGAAATCGCTTCCGCGTCTTGCGCGGATTGAGAAATGGGATTGAAGTTCGTTTTCGCTTCCGCGCGTGCAGGAAATTGCTTTCGTGATTGAATCGTGGCCCTTCCGCGAAGCTTCCGCGAGTACATAAATGAGAAACCCCTTCCGCGAAACTTGCGCGGCGCTTCCGCGACCTGGCAAAAGTCAACATGTTGAAAACGATATTTCCTCCCGAATACTTCTTTCAAGTGCAGGGGTTTTACAACGTCGCTCAAATGTACTTGGTTGGCGCAATGCAATCGACATATTGGTTCAGATTGATGCATGAATTGTTTCGTTTCTGTCACGAGCGGCCATAGTAACCAATTGCGGAATGTGCTTCTTGGGTTGTATCTTCCAGAAAAGAGTGGCCAAAGGTTCAACAAACTCTGGACGACCCTAAACCATCGGGAGGTTGGAAGCACGCGGTTGTGAAGCCTAGAAAGGAGGCATGCACATATACTGCAAACTGCAAATGATGCAGAGAATCTTGCATTCGAAAATACTCATGTCTGAATGCATTAATTGCCTGAAACAAAAAGCACCAAAAAACGACAGCTTACATTGTTTAGTCTTTCTGTCGCCCTCTCGGCTCACACCATTGCATTCAGCCATGACGTACATTGCGTCATCCTATGCCAATGAGCCAACAGCTGAAAACCGCAAGGTGGGTTGAAGATCGCAGATTCTGTATCATCATCCACATTGATGTGTTGAAACCTGTGCTTCATTGACATCATGTGTTGCAAGCAAGCTGCCTGTCCAAGCCAATCACGGTGCAAAGGTTCAGCACGACCAGCATGAGAGGAGTGGACCTTTTCAGCACAAAAGTCTGAAACGTGCAGTGCCCTGACTGAATAGTGCCAAGTCTCCAGCATGCAAGTGCCAGGGTTTTTGTCTGACTCCAGCCGCAGTCAGACCCCAGTCGCCTGCAGCGTCCAACTTGGCAACTGCAAAGACGTGTCTATGAGCATCGCACAAAAGAAGCGAAAAGCAGAACGTGAAGGTGATCGTCCATGCCTGAGCTGCCGCACTCAGTCACTCCCATGTGAGTATTCCCCAGAAAAGCACACTAAAGCTCCCATGAAGATTCTGCTGTTTTGCTGGCATGCAGCTGTGCTTCCACCAGGAACGCCCAACCAGCGCAGTGCAACACCCGGATCTGTCTCATGCCATGACCACCTCAGCAAAATTGGACCAATTGCTTTCCATAAAAAGTAACAAGGGCGCACCACAAAAACCTCGCACCGCACATGTCATAGGGCGCGTAGAATATCACGGCCAGCAAGCCTGAAAAACGGAAAAGTCTTCCGCACAATCGCATCAGCACGTGGAATGAGTCCAAGGCGCCTGCCAGGCCTGCCTCTGCCAATGCAGACTGGCGGGCGTGGTAAAAGACTCTGGCCGCAGAGACCTTGCGAGGAGAATGAACGTCTTTTGCATTGGCGCTGAATACACTGAATATCGTCTCCTTATGTGCTTCATATACGCTTAGGTGCTCGCTGTTGGCCAATACATAAAAGCATTGTAGACACACGGGATGTAAAGCGGCATGCGTGGAGTGAGCATCACTAATCCTTGGGCCTGACACACCGTGGAAGCATCTCACATCAGCACGCGCATGCCGCACCTGCCAGAAGTTGTCCACCACCGGTAACAGCATGAATATGTAGTCATTGACTGTGCCCACGATGAAGGTGGCAAACCATATCCTGGAACTCAAGCCCATTGTCACTTTGTCAGTACTCAGCTAGCCAGATTCTATGCAACCAAGAAGCAGCATCAAACGGCGCCCTTCTTTGGGATTTGATTCGCATGCCGCATGAAGAAAAGCAAAGCACGAAAGGGATATGAAGAGTACCTGCGCGCACAAAGTATCTATGGATCTCAAACGCTTGTCATTCATTGAGCCCTTGCCTCGGCAAGAACGAACGACGGGTGATCACCCAGCTGCCTCTCAAGCGAACTGAATCGTTGCCAGGGCCACCTGAAAACATGATATAGATAACATTGCCTCGTTCGGTCATGGTAAAGATGCTGGCAAAACAAGTTCAGGTCCGCGCTTGTCATATTCTCGGAAATGATCCATTAGCAGAGAAAGCCTCAGATTTTGCATCCAACCTCGCTGCAGCTGGAGCTGGCAAACAAGCTGGGGCTTCAGCATGTCCATGGCTGGCCCGGCTACGTGTGGCAGCCAGCTGGATGTAACTCTAACTCTGACATCTATACATGACATTTGCTAGGTACAGGCATGATGGCAGCTAAGTGCATAGTAAGGCCTCGTGTAAACAAAAACCATGATGCTGCAAATTGCTTGCTGGCTCAAGCCATCATTCACCAGCAAGCAAGAACTGCAGTACATGCTGCTCTTTGCTCATTTGCACGCTCAAGGCATCATGATCCGTATGTTTGTTGCGTGAATTATTCGCAACTCACAAAAGCACGTCTGAATCCAATGGAACCACACGCCTCATGAGGTAGGTCGTAGATGGTGGGTTTCGCCTCGGTGCAGAACGAAAGCTCGCAAACGAGTCCTTGGCAATGTGCACTTCAAGCCTAAGCCCAACAGCCCTAGTCTGTCACGCAGAATCAAGGCACTGACTCTGCCAATGTCATCCTGGTGCTGTTGGCTGTAGATATGCCCCAACATGCAACAGGCAAGAAGTCTATGCAAGAGTCCTTCACCAAGACCGCATTGCGCGAGTTGTTGCAATAGGCCTTGCATGGCAAAGCAAATGGCCAGCAAAAGATGCAGGCAAACGGCCCCCAGGCAAACGCAGCCCGGCCTCCGACATCCGAGCTCTCCCCGCAAACCCTCAGGATGCGTGGCAAAGGCCAGCAAATCCCGAAATGTTGAGCCAGTCAAGCTACGCCATGCTGCATGTTGCATGGTCTTTGCTGTGCTCAAGTTTCATAACAGCAAACATGGAACACAAAACGAACTCATGTGAGCCGTCACATTCATCAGCATGATAGCACAAAGGAAGGTCTTCAACAGGAATGCAAACTCGAGTTCATGCTCAGGGATTTCTGCAACATAAGATAGAATGATCACTTCGCCAAGTCAAGTCTGTGGAGCGGAAAGTTCACTAAAAATCAAGCCGACCAAGCGCGCAGGCATTCCTAAACACGCAACTACCGACATGTAAATTTGACAAAGTGAAGACAGTGAGCATGCATCCGCCAGAGTACAGTGTCATCTGCATAATGTTGCAGAATTTTGATCTAAGATCCCCAAAACTTGAAGCCGGCACGCATACATGCTAAATTGAAATGATGCAATGGTTTGACAAATCGCGGACGCTAATCAGGAGTGTAGATGGCAAGGTGTCCTGAACGTGAAAGCCCGTTCTATGACAGTCCTCTCAAAGCCTGCATCACCGGCAGCTGTGTGTTGGGGTTATTGCCCTCCAAGGTTCTGCTTGTGATTCAAAGTTTTGGTGTGCTTCCATTAACCTTGGTGAGCATTGGTACCCCTTTCTTTGAGCGAGCTGTGTGTGTGGCTTCTTGGTGTTATTCTGCACTCAGAAAGGTGCATGGGCAAAACTAAAACCTAACCCCGGAAACCCAGAAACCTAAGCCCTGTGCTTGAGCTGCATGTGCCCTCTGCGATTCTTAGCACGCATACCATGCTACCTTCCAGTACCTTCCACCATAAACAATTTCTACTAACATGTAGTGACACGTTGTCTGTATAAAGCACAATACTATTCAGACAAAATACAAAACAACTATACATTAAATGTAGTACAATATGTATAGTACAATCATCACAATCAATGAACTATCAGCATGCCAAGATGTAGACTTCGACAGGTGTTTTGCGATCAGCAGTAGCTTCACAACTTATGTGTCCTTCGGCAATTCGATGCAGTGAACCCTCAACAGTGACAAACAAGCTGATCATGAAGTGATGAGTGTGAGGTGCGGCATCCGCTTTCCGAACTTCTGCCATCACATCTTGTCCAGGACGAAGCGGAAGCCAAGGCAGCAAAAGGCTGAAGTGAGATTCAGTGGCTCGCCAAGGTGGGTGATCAAAGTGAGCGCGCCAGCACCAAAGCGACACAGCTTCTTCCAGCAAAAGGCATCCTGCAGCACAGGTCAGACCATATGCGTCGAAATCCTTTGAACGCAGTGATATTTGGAGCAAATCCGTCGATTGCTCTCTGCTGCGACTATCAAACAAACATGCTGAATGCTGAGGCTGATCTGCTCGACTCTTCGGACTTGGCCCTTGGCCCTGAGTGCTGTTGAAGGTGCCTATCAGTGTTGGCACTGCTAGCATGCCATAACCGATCAACATCGACAGAGAGGCAAAGAGCTTGCCAAAGATGGTCTCTGGCACCAGGTCGCCATATCCAACTGTGGTCAGAGTCACAGTCGCCCACCACATGCCAAGCGGTATAGAAGCAAATGCAGACGACTCGTTGCGACTGTGCTCAGCTGCATACAGGCAGCTGCCTAGCACCAGGACCACCACAAACACACCGAAGAGGTACACTGCAATAAACCTCAGATCCTTGCGGATCGCTGACGTTAGCATCTGGCACTCCTTCACAAACTGCAGAAGCTTGAAGAGTCGAAACATTCGAAGGCACGCCAAAATATGGAAGGCGTGCCCAGCATGAAAGGGATCTGCAGTCCAGCTGATGAGCTTGGTGTAAATTGTGGGAAGGGCTATGAGACAAACCAGCAAATCGACAATGCCCAGTATAGAGGTGGCGTACTTCCAGCATTTCTGTCCGGAAGCAATGAGGCGCACCAAGTATTCAATGATGAAGAATATTGACGAAGTCAGCTCAACGGCATTGTATATATGAATGCAATACAGCATTTTGCTGATCTGCGGCACAGAGATCACCACGGTCCCCCCCACACTGGCCACCACCTGGGATACACACAAACGCTCTCAGATCTGGGGCTGGCTGTGACATGCAGCTGGAAAGCGGGAATTTGGAATCTGAAACATTGCTAATCTCTGCGAGTCACTGCCAAGCATGACAATGTGTTCAAGACAACCCAGGAACAGCAGCTCAGCTGTGGCCATCCCACGCAAAGATTCGCGAAGCTAGACCCAGAGATAGACTCATCCCTCAAGCTGGCATTGTCCTCGTCCTAGGATGCGATCACTCCCGTAACAATCTTCTGTAAAGGAACAGGCAAGCTAGCATGAGCACACTTCATCTCTTTGATGGACCAAGTCAAAGTAAGATTCTGCCTCAAGGTCCGTACAGCAAACATGGTCAAACGCACATGCTTTGCCATACCCATCCATCGAAGCTGCAGGGTCAGAATCGGATGCCGATGCATCAAGTTCAGACCTCAGGATTTCAATGTGCATGGGGCATGGCACCCCAAGTGAGCATCCAAGGGCAAGATTGGTCTTGCCTTGTGTACAACCAAGATCTCCTGGTTGGCTGAGTCCGGCTCTCCACCCTCTCCGTGCGTTGCATCTACTCGGGCGCATCCAGAGACGCAGGCGACATGGGCACAAAAAGACAGCAGCTGAAGTTGCCAGTTGCTGCAAGCCCCCACATGAAGCTAAGATGCAATGCAGGTTGAGATTATCGCAACTCTGTGCAATGCAATTTTGGCACGCTTGTAGGACGTATACATCCAGCTAGAGCTTGCATTGGCCATTGAGCCAAACAAAAAATCGGGCAGCTAGAAGATGCTAAGACTCTGACCTGGTCAAGCTGTTTAACTGCAAAGAAGATCGGTGCTGTTTGCACATATTTTCCGGATCGGAGAAGAGTTATACTTTGCGGCACCTAGCCCGCGCTTCAGCTGACAAGACATGGCGACCTGCATAGCACACCACAGTCCCAAGCAAGAAAGCATACTTTGAACGTTGCGTATGCTCTCAACTGCCCAGGCTTTGAACACAGGAAGGGCTTGTGGGCAGACTATATTCACTAACCCTGCCTCAGCCTATGCACGTGGACGCACCGATCGGGCTGTGAAACCTGCAAGCAGGCCACCTACTACAAGCTCAAATGCAAACACTGCAAACCAACACACACACACACACACACAAACACAAGCACTGGAAAGCAAGGCTCACCGTGGAAATAGCTAAGGCGGTGCTTGTTTTCCTGTCGAGGCATGAGAAGACTACTTGTCGAGGTGCGCGGTTCAAGCTTGCTGAGAGTTATGCTGTCCTCCACGTCAACTGTTATGTCAGTCTTCGTATCCGCTTCCATCTTGGGCTTGTCCTTCTTGCTTTCCCTGCGGCGTGGACCATAGTGGACCATGGGATCTGAGCGCATGGACCATGGTACAAAGGCTCCGACTTTGGTGCAGCTCCATAGTCGCGGATGAAGTCGTAAACATCACCGGCATTTCTGGCTGCGGATGACGCTCCTGGCAAGATGTTTCACAAGCTGCGCGAAAGAGGAATCTGAAATTGTCTCACACCACACAGCTGGACCTCAGGATTGGTTAATTTCCCTGGCCGAACGCTGGATCTCCTGCTTCTCTCAGCAGCTTCTCCGACATTCTCGCCAGGCGAGCGCCTTCCTCCTGCGGCAGCAGAAAGAATTGAGATTCACAATATAGCAGTGGTCACTACGCGCAAGCCTTGTTCTCATGGATCTTTGTCTGGGCCACAAGCAGCAAATTTTCGCCCTCGATCTGCTTGTTGCCAACTTCCTGCAAATGACAGGTGGGCTTGCATGCAGCAGACCAAATGCAACCAGAATGAACTGCAGCCTTGGCAATCTCGATCGCCAGCTTTGCTTTTGCTCGTGCCTGTTTGGGCCGCGCTCGCTGGCTCTCTCAAGCAGAGATAAGTCAAATATCATTGAAGGCTGGTGTGAGCTCCTCTGAGTGCTACCGACGCAGCCTTCTACTGAATCAATCGAGCCATTTCCAAATACATTAGACCCGCCACGTGCCTCGGCTGCATTTCCATAGTTGAGAAAAGCAGTCGCCAAGCTTTTTAGAGCTTGGGCCTCGCCAACACGATCTCCAACCTTAGCCCATCCAAGGCCCAAGCCATCTAACCTCCAAATGCGCAAATGGGGGAAGCAACAGTTGCATTTGCCGGGCGCCTGGCACTTTGGAGAACAGCCATTGCTTCCTTGCCCGCAAGTCTTGCCTTCCAATTGGTCTGTTGCTCCTCGGATGGCATTTGCATTTCTGAGCCAGTGGCTTCCAAGCTGTGCCTGCTGGTCGCTTCGCGCAAGTCGAAGCTGACCAACATGCGCGCTGGCTATGACGTTCAGAGTAGCACCGAGCTGCGGCCTGCACAAAGGAAACTCAGAGTGTCGCTCATGGGGCCGCCTGCCTGTCGTTCCTTTGCCGACAAATTTCAACTCCCTCATCAGCGATGCGCAACGCCTCTTCCTGGGCGTGAGTCTTGCATGTCACCGACATCGCACCGAGGCCCAAGGCAAGACCTCTGAGTTCTTCCAACATGTCCAGAATCTGGAAAGGCTCATGCAGATGCAACTTAATTACGCTGGAGTCCTCATGTTGAGCAAAACTATGTGAAGCAATGCCTACATTGGGCCTCGAAACGTCTTGACTTATGACCTATCAGATTGCACAATCAAACAGCAATTGCGACTTGTTTCTCATGGAAAGCAATGGCCAAGCTCGTATAAATCACGGGAACGGAGTTCAACCATCACCAAAGCAAACGTTACTCAAAAACGTATGATATGTTAATTGGAGGCCAATCTCATCCTGTCCCTTTAGCTTTTGGGCTGCTAGTCTAGTTTGGCACCGCACATACACCTTGTGGATGCACGCAAAAAGCTCACATCCATGAATATTAGGCGCAAGTGCAACAGAGTTTCCAAGACACCCGTCTCGACGTGCGCAGCCGCGATTTGACAGAGTGTGGCCGCCTCACCGAGAGAATGGAATTCCACGGGCATGGCAGCCCTGCAATTCTCCCAGCCTCTCCTCGCTTGTGGCCCACATCCCGAAAGCATTCCAAAGCTGCCCTGGTGTACTGCCATCCTGAGGTTGGTGCAAAGGACTCTGGGCAACACAAACACGGGAGCAGCCCAAAACCCATCGAGGATGGGTTTTAGCACGTGCTGTATGTAACATGCTGATGAAGCTTACATAGCCCTTGCTATAGCAGCCCTTGCTATAGCCCATATGTAGACCCACACACTACAAAGGTGTTGGGCGCTGCTAACTTGAGCTGCCCACCATCGATGTTTTCACCACCTGCTATCAGGGCTGACAACTGGCAGGATGTTGGATGTGTGCCATGGAGTGGCCTGCAAGACAAATGTCGGCAAGCTGCTTCAACATGATGCCCTGCGGAACACACACACAAAGACATACATGGGACCTGTCCAAGCAAAGCCACACACACAACTAAGATTAAAGCACATGCGAATGCAAAGGCAAAACCAAGCCAGGAAAAGCAGCACGTCTCAGCCTGCATAAGTCGGTCACCGTTTTTGTCGAAAATATCCACGGCGTTCTGCGCCTCGCTTTGGCTAAAAGTTGTTGGGACACAAGCCACTTTCAAAATGATTGTTCCCCAAGGACATGCAGGATTGAGGTGGCCCCCCATGTCGTCAAGCATACTATCAAATATGTAGTTGCTCAAGTGGATTGACGCAACACTAAAGTTTGCTCAACGGGAAACCGTCACCATCTGAGCTCCTTGCGAGCTCTTGAGCTTCCTGCGAGTCACCGAGCGCCTGAGCTGGCACTGGACAGCCAAACTGTGGCGTCCCCTGGATAACATGCTTTTGAGTCTTGAGCTTGTCAATGGCAAGCAAATGCCAAGCGGAGCCTGCTTGGTCTTGGCGACCAGCAGCAGACCGCGCGCCTCATTTGCGCTTGCACTGCCCTGGTAGATGGCCAGCACCTGGGCACAGGTCGTTTGGGCAATGGCTAGCTTGCCAAACACGCCCAGCCATGTGTGTTCACATGGCTCAACAGGTTGACTCGCCCGGCCTCATTTGCAGCACGCAGGGCGTCGCCGCCCTTTTTGGTAGCAAGGCACGCTCGGACCAGCACTTCCAAGGCTGCAGCCTGGCCAATGCGACAAAGCAGCTCGCCATCTGAGAAGCAGTCCTGCTCACGCCGCCTCGCCCTGCTGCTCTTTCTGCTCCTTGAAGAGTGCGGCTGCTTGCCTGGCAACCTGACATTCAGAGTCGCGACCTTAGCCTGTGAGTCAAGCATCGCACCTTCGCAGCTTCCTGTTTCTTGTCCCGTGCCAGGCACACCTTGAAACTCCCAAGTACACCCTGAAACTCACGCAATCCGTGCCTGGGCACGAGTGGTGAGCGCTGCCGCCTGCGCCGGGCCCTGCGCCTGAACTCATGCTCGTCAGCTCTCCGAAACATCTCCATGTTATCTTTTTCTCAAACTGCTGAAATCAAGCTGTATCTCAAGCCGCATGGCATGGTGGAACTCAATTCACACCCTGGAACCCTGAGCTTCTCACCGCCGAGACTGCTTTGTCGGCAGCTTCTGCAGCTTCATCGAGGCGGAAGACAGCCAAGTAAGCCTCACTGCTCTATGCATGTTGCGACCTGCGCCTATGAGTTGACATGCTTGACCCATTACACCCATGGCACTCCGCTACGTTCTGACCTTCGCAGCAGTGCGCTCTGCCATGGCCACGGCGTCGCCCTCAGCACAAAGACATGGCCCGAGTCGTTGGAGCTGCCGAGCCAGGCGCTTGAGCAGCTTGCACGCCTTTCTGAGCTGCCTACCGCGCAAAGCCGGAGGAGGCGCGCCAAGGAGAACAAGGGGGAAACCAGTGCACGAGGGTAGCCAACAAGCTGCCTCAACGGCTTTCAGGAATTCCCGTTCGAGAAGATGCGCCCGTGCAATGGCACTATAAGCCACAGCTTTTCCGCGCGCATCACCTTGCTCAAGTGCCTGGCGTCCCCAACTTGAGCCCGGACTGCTTGCTTGGAAAAGCGCAAGCCTCAAAACAAGCTTGACATGTGTATCAATTGCCTTGGTCGCAACGGGCAGCGCTTGCTCCACATCCTGCCACTGATTGCCCATCTGGCACACATGTAGGCAGCTGCAATCAGCCAAGTCCTCACGTGCAAGATGCTGCGAGAAGTCTGCAGCCCAGCTAGCAAGCTTGAGGCTCTCATCCTGACAAAGGAAACGTGCAAAGGCCAAGCACACTTGACAGTTCTGGTTCTTGACCAGGCTAGGTGCCTGACGAAATCAAACATCATAGCAGCAAGGCACTTACTGCCACAGGCAGGCAGCGGCCTACATCTAAACCACAACACAAAGCTAAACCGCTACTCCACGGCTGTCGGCAAGAGGCAAAAGTATGTGACATGTACTTGTTTGTTCAACATGACTCTCAAACGTGCACCTATCTGCATGTCCAGATTCGTCACAACACATCGTCAGTGAGCTTTCTGCGGCGGCAACCCGACACGAATCATGGGCTCTTTTCTGTTTGGCGAGCTCGTTTGGCAACGCTAGAGCGGGCTCACAGACACCGCTTTGAAGCTCAAACCTTGGTCATCTGAGCGGTCCGGATTTTAGACCTGGTTAGCGTGTTTGGTGGCTCCTTGCTGGAATGCTTAAGCACGCCTGTGTGCATTGCACGCCGGGAACGCGTGCAATTCCAGGCCAAGCAGGGCTTCTAACATCAGCTTGCAAAAGCATTTGCTTTGATTGTTTAGCTTCAAAGTTGAGTCCTCACCATGACAAACCATGACAAGAACTACATGGTATTCATGACTGTCAGTGGGTCTGCACAGAGGTTGCCAAAGCACAATATTAGCTTGGCAAAGCTTTGCTCAAATCGACTAAAAAGCTGAGCCTTCGGCGAAAGAATCATCGCTTGGAGCAGCTACGTCAGAGCAGAGTGGCCTGTATGTTGATGCAAACATATTTGGGCATCGGGGGGGGGGGGGGGGGTGGGCCCAAAAGCGGCGGCGTGGTTTTTCAATCCAAGTAAAAAGCGGTATCTTCAAAATAACCACCTATGTGGACCCTCCGCGCCTTGCGCTTTCATCGCATTTGCCCAAATGCGGGTCCGACACCGACGTGGAACAGCAGGAATCTTCATACATGCTGCGCGCGGCTCCTGGCAAAACCGAATGTCGGCTTGAAGTCAAAATTCGTTGTCCACCCCCCCCCCCCGCCGCTGCAATGAAACTGATTTTGGCAAGTAACCTGAATTGCCTGATAGCATTTAGCATACCCAATGTTATCCTGTTATCCTCTTGACTACAGTGGATCACAGCAAATATTGACTGTTGCTCGTTCTCTGGCACAATTCTTCCTAGCAACAAACTCGGCCACGGCTAGACCGGTTTACAAAGCCAGAGCTTCCACATTGTACTCCGCTTCGCCTCATACATGCTATGCAAATTGTAAGATTCAGGACGTGCCTGATCAAAAAGTCGCAGAAGTTCGGCTGACATGGCTGTGCACATTGGTAAGCAAAACCATCCTCGAACTTTGGCATCTGCGGCTGGTTCGCTGGCTGTGCCTGGCTCAACGTACCTGTTCAAAAGTGGAATCGCACTGGGCGGCATACTGCAACCTTCATGAAGCCAGGTAGACTGCTCCTAATGGCCAATGGGTGCTTTGGCGCTGCTCAAGTGGAAAATCACCGCATGATTGAACCTGGACTTCGATCAACACCCAGCCTGTATACTGGGTCGCATGACAGCGCGAAGTATGCACGAGACCAAACCTGGTGCGTCACAATAAGATTAGCAAACAGTGCCAATGCATGTCGATACAAGCCCTTGTCTTGCAACCTCAGGCCGGTGCTGTCGTCACTGGCCAGACCAGGCAACATGCAAGAATTAGTAGCGCCCGGAAGAGCATCTCCACGGGCCAGCGCCATCCAGAGCGAGGCGCTGCCGCTTGAAGGGGTGGATCCACCAAGCACCTGGCTGAGTCGACTCTGGTTCCCAGGCGTTGGGCCTGTTTGGGGATCAGTGCAAGGCGGTACGCGGAGGCGCCCGTGTCACAAAAGCGAGGCCTACTTTTGACCAGGCCCCCCCCCCAAGCGATTGTTTTTCGGGGCATGGTGCGTTTGGAACATGTTGGGTTGCTAAAGACGTGTCGCAACTTGCACCTCTTGATCTCAGCTGCAAAGTTCAGCGTGCGGAAATGCTCCCCCATCTTCGAGAGAGCCGGTTCCACTGCAGCCATTGTGCCTCCAAGGTGTTCGTTCAGTGCATGTCAATGCACTTTACTTGTCAACGGCTTTGCAATAAGTGCTGCCATCTGAGTGTGTGTGTTTTGAGGGTACCCTGGTCACTTTGCAAGGGGAATTGGGTCCCCCTATTTTAACACATGCCCATTTGGAGGACTGCGCCAATGATAAAGAGATCATGAGCGTGCGCATGCTTCGCCTCCGGCAACAATCGAAGCCAAATGTTCCCGCGCAAGGTTGCTGTCATCGAAATCAACGAGGTAAGAGTTTTCGTTGTCCTGATGAAACAGCGCATGCGCAAGTTGTCTAAGTATCACGATTCTATCCGGTCCTTGACAAACTCCAAATGACCTCCGGCCGGCTGAATCGCAACTGGGGTACCAGAGCTCCATGCCTCCATACGTGACAGCTACCATGCGTGTGACGTGCATCTCTAAGCCGAAGGCCTCCACCACCGTGTTTCCAAGCGTCTCGCAAGTGCTCGCAGAAACGAAGAGATCGCTGGCAGCGTATGCGATGCGAAGCTCTTGCGCTCCAAGCATGCCTTGACCGGAAAACTGGACCAACATGTACCAACAGAATCAGAGAAAGGACTGTACCTCAAGCCACACATTCCAGGCCTCTCTGAGGAAGCACATTTCGCCGCCTGCTTGCCTGGCAATCGCAGTTCTAGAAATCAAGACTCCAATGGTACAAGCATGTCTGCCAATGCCTCGATCTGATCCGCATAGTCGGCATCACTGTCGCCCACTATGACAAGGCCACAGTCTTCTGGAACAGCGTCCAGCAGCAAATGAATACGCTTTTCTGCTGACCACCTCCCAGCGAAGAGGAATATGGCCTTCGGCCTGAAGCCAAACTTCTGGATCCAGCTGGCTCTCTTCTGGGACGCAGCTTGATCATAGACGTGGAGTGGCTGGCGGAATTCATCGGACCACAGGACTGGAGGCCAAGTGCACTGGACTGGAACTCGATATCTCTCCCAGAGTGATCTGGCATAGACTTTCGCCACTGAAGCATGTGCCGTTGCAAAAAATGCTGATGCTAAATGAAGCCACCAAAGCATCTTCATCATAATTGATTCGTGATAGACAGGATGTGAAGGCACATCGGAATGGGTAGTTGCAATGCTTGGGATACCCAAGCCACGCATAAGCATTAACGGAGCAATGCGCATACAGCTGTCATCCAGGAAGCAAAGACTGTGACCTGCGCGAGGCGCAAATTCAACCTCCTTGCAATGTGCCGTGAGCACAGCTCAAACAAGTGCAAGATTTGCTCAGCGTTCTGCACTAAGTTGTCGCATGGGCCTTGATACCAATAACTTGAAACAGTATGTACAAACACATGTTCTTGGTCATATATGTGGGCCGCTCATTGCATTCAGCGATCACCGGCGTATGGAGGCAGGCAAATTGAATGCTGACAAAGAGCCACGCCAGCTAAAGAAAAATGTACTTAGCCTCAAGTGCGCAAGTGCATGCCGCTGCTGAATGCAATGGAAGTTCCAAATGTTGCATGCTGTTCACCTTTGAGCGTCCCAGAAAGATAGGAACGCCTGCCTCAAGACAAGCACGCATAGCCCAAGGCCGAGCGGAAATGTTGGGGATCCGGTTCTTTCCAATGAAGCATTTCTCTCTTTCAGTTTATGTGGCTTTCAATTTATTGGCACAGCAAGTGTGTCTTTCAGCCGTGCATTGATTCAGGCACATCCACAGAGGTGCAAATAGTTTCCTGTTCTTCCATGTTCTGAATCAAGCATGGAACTCCACTCCAAGCTGTCGCAATAGTGGAAGTGTCAAGGAACAAGAGAACCGTATCATTTGGTTGCTCGCAAGCTTTTGAATGCAAAGTGCGAGTGTGAACTCCTCTGGTATGTGGTCGCAGTTTGCTCATCACGTTCTTTCCTTTCCTAGATTGCTTACGAAACAGGATGTGGTAATCGCTTCCTCTACTTACGTTGTGTCCATGATTGTGTTCACCACACACCTTGTCTGGTTATGAGGAAATGCTGCATCTCCAGCACATCCAATATGCCGCCAATCAAATGCTGGTGAAGCTACTTCCTGGCCATGATTCCCCGAGAGGCTGCTCCAATAACAGTTTGGGTGCCATGGAGCGACGATTGCACTCCCTGATGATAGTCTCATCTGCTTCTTAATTGACGTCTAGTAAGTGATAGTCAGTTGGTCTCTGACTGGACCAGGGCGCTCCTATCACGCACTCAGAATGATCATGAATTTGCGGCTACCAGTGCGCATGAAAATTTGATCCAAACCGAGTGCTGTCCCGTGAGTCGAACCGGGTCTGCCGGCACATGATCTTGACCCACAATCGTAGTCCTAATGAAACATACTGATACTGGCCACGTGTTGCCCGGGCCTCCAAAGAGCAGCTGCTGCACAAGAGTTGCAGTGTTGTGGGTGGAGAAAAAGTCCATGAAAACAGCAACGCCCAGGTTGTTGGAGGCTTCTAATGCCCAGGCCGGAGCATGGACCAGCTGGCCGCTCTGCAGCCATCTCCTCCAGTGGGAAAAATTGAGGAGTGGCGGTAGACAATCCACAATACCGGGCTCATAACAGTATCCTTAAATTGGTGTGTCTGTGTCCCTTTAGTTTCCCTTTGAACAATATCTCCGAAGGGCCCCACTTTTGAAACAATGCCGCATGCTGCCAAGCCGCAGCACGTCGGCTTCGCCCGACTCTCGGACGTTCACAGGTGAAACAAGAGTGACGTGCCAGCCCAGGCCATCAATCAGTGCTCTGCACAAAGCCAAGTAGTCTTTGGCGACTCCACCAGCCTGAGGTCTCGAGGGTGCTTCCTTTGTTTCCTCTAACCAAAAGGCTCCACCATTTTGAGACGCACCCGCAAAGCGTCAGATATCATCAGTTCTCTGCGCAAACAAAGAGTTGCTCAGGCAACCAAATCAAGCCCTGCCTGCTTGAGCAGGGGCGGAAATGCTTGTGCGCACACCAATGCGCTCGGCATTGCAGCTATTTGTGTGTATTGAGACATCATGGCAAATGGTTCCTCCTGGTCGGTGAGTTTTGCCTGCTACGCTGTTCTGCTGTGTGAATAAAGGTCTAGGTGCAAAGCTGGCTTGCGCTTGAATCCAACAATCAATGGAGAATGCATGAGTCTCGACCTGCTATCAAAAGGCTTGAGATTCCGTGCACACGCGTGTTGTTCAGATGTACCTTGTCCCTTCTTCCCTTGAACACTTCCAAGGTCCCGCAATGCACGCACTTGTTTCTTCAAGCAAAGCTACAGCACGGCCTGGCTGACTGCACATTTGCCATGCTGCAGAAAGAACTTCTATAATGGGTACAAAATGCCGGGAAAAGTAGCTACAATGAGCTCGCAGCTCCGGAAAATGCTGAAAAAGTTTCGGGCGACTGTCGTGTGACTACGCAGTTGGAGTTACATGAACTCCAAGACCAGCCTGACGAGCAGAAGGAAGTGAAACTGCTAAACCGCAGCACTGTACAGCACGAAGGAAAATGAGGTGCAAACACAAACTTCAAACGTAGCCAGGCCAACAACCGCTCTCAGGTGTCTCCCCTCGCCATTCACATGTTCCAGCTGGCAAAGAAGTCATTGCCTGAGTCGGGCAGCTCTCCTGTGCATGCAAAACAAAACAAACAAAAGTACCCGGCCCTTGTCATCAACCAGGATGAACGCGGGGAAATTCTCCACCTGAAGGCCAAAACTGTGTATGCTTGAGGGCAAAATGCTGTTGAGTGTGTAGGTTGCAGGCGTCGATCTTCCAGACGGCTTCCATGCCAAGCTCCGGGAATTCCAAGACCTCCCGAGGCAGGACACTGTCGCTATGTGGATCGTTCTTTGATTTGTGTGGAACAGTCCAGGCAAAGTCTCTAGCCGGCTTGACAAATCCGAACAAATGAACAGGAATAGCCTCGACCTTCTTGATGCAATCTTCTGCAAGGACCTGCGCACGGACAAAACCTTGACGGTCAATGAAGAGAATTTGGCCCACCGCGGCAGCACCGCCGACGCTGCCAAGATAGAACCCCCCGTACTCCTTGCAGGCATCTGTCACCTGCAGTTGAACACTCAGTCGTAATCAGTCAACCAACAGGCACCAGCCTGCTTGGATCGGTTCCCTTTGGCAAGTGTCACCTCGGGCTACCCAAGCAACATGTCAATGTGCGCTAGTATCCCTCTCTCTCTCTCGCTCTCACGGCTGTCTCCTCCGTCTTACACCCTCCTTCTGGGCACAAAGGAGCCGACCAAAGAGCCCCCATGGGGCTGCCACATTGGCACGTAGGTGTCCATCCCTCAGTGAGAGTCCACATTCCCCAGACCTGCCTGGGCATGCCTTTGCAGCCTGAGCCTTCTGCGGCCTGCTGTCGTCGGCCCGAAAGAGCCCGACGCATAACCAGCTGGCGTCCTTGGCGAAGCCAAGCTCTGGCCACGTTGCTCGAATTCTCCAAGTGCGGGGCTTGGCCGGTCCAGCATAGTAGATCGGGTGATCCTCGGCCCGATGACGACATAACACAATAGCAAGTGATGTGAACGGAATGGCCTTGACGTAGTCAGGAAGAACTCCCGTCTGCTCAAAGCGCTCACTGATCTTGGCGTGAGCAATGTCCCGCGCCACAATAAGGGGGCCTGACAAATTTGATAGCCAACAAATTCAGTAGCAAAATGAGCTCACAAGGCCTGTCAGTGAGACACGAGTCTTGATGGGATACCTTGCCGAAGCATTAGCAATAATTGTGCGACTCATCCACACTGCGCAAACCGCAAAACAATGTCCTAGGTCGCATACTTTGTGAGCGTGGCCAAAATATCCTTCATTGGCTGCTTCAAGTTGATGGAGACCACCTCTCCAGCCATTTTGCATTCCCATGCGACATGACTTGCTGTGGCTGCAGACCTGTTCAGACACACTGTCGAGCGGGCCAGATGGCAAATATTTGGCCTTGGCAGCAAGGGCATGCATCCGTTGCCAAGTGCTTTCACTCTTGTGAAGCCAGGTCACAGGGTCGTGCTCCAGCTGCTCAACAAAGACTCCATCAGCTGTGATCTTGGCCAGGATCCTGTCATGCTGAGCATTCAACTGAACTGACCAGTGCCAGATTGGCACAGCACATGCCGGCTTTGCTGCCGATCAGCGCTGCAAGAGACGCCCAAACCAACAGGGCACGAAGCTCCGTGCCTTTCAAGGGGATGTGCATGGTTGCAGGGCAACCAGAACTGACTTTGAAGTGTCGGCCTAGGAAGTCGTACAACGCGTGCCTTGCCAATCGAGAAAACACTCTATAATGCTTTGCAGTGTGCCAAGAATCTGTGCTGATCTTGCAATAGTTTTTCCTCAATATAGGCTGCTTACTTGTTTTTTGGATTTCTGGGATCCTGGCATCATGTGCGAAGTACTTGCCGCCGAACTGAGCGCCGACACCAAGGTCTTGGCAAATCTTCAGCACCTTCTCCTGTCCGTGGCGCCGTAGCTTGCAAGCTGGGCAGGGAAAATTCACGCTGTCAAGACGCACCTCCCACTCGAGGTCACGGAACGCCCTGCCACTGTCGCTTCCTGACGTGGGAAGGTCATCATAGTACCTCTCGCAATGTTCACAGCAAACGGCACGCATCTAGCCGACACAAAGCCATTGAGCCATTGCTTACACGTCAGGCATCCTTGCCTTGCACTTGCGAGCTTCACAGTCTTCAGGCAGGTCTCAGCCTTGCGAATTCAATGATAAGTAGGGCTGACACTGCTTGGACACTGCCCCAAGCAGTGTCTGTTCATTTGCCAGCGTTGGCCCAGGCTGTTTAAGGGCAGGTCAGACGTTCCTCCAATGACCAGGGCCACATGGTAGGGCGGGCAAGCGCTGGTGCCCAAAGTCTGCCTGTGCCAAGTTGATTCTCAAGAAGCCAGCGGCAACTGTCTGTGACAAAGAAGGCTGAGTCTGTGGCAGCTTCTCTTTGATGAAGGCTTCCAACTTCTTTGGATTCAGAAGTGCCTCAAAGGAAGAGAAACACAAAGACATCGAATCCGCTATTCCCCGTAAGCAACTTCAAATAAGCTTGGAGCTTTTGTTTGCTGGTACAAATAGGTCTTGTTGGCCGAGCCGCCACCCTTTGCCATGAAAAGGAACCTGAGCTTGAGAGGCTGCATGCCAACTGCAATCCATGGCCAAAGCCCCAAACTCGTACTTGGACTCGGATGTTGCCAGGAGGTCAATCTGGGCAGGCAAGTTGCACCTCAAGAATTTGGTCACAGAAGGGCCAAAGCCTGGAGTCATTCTCAACGGTGATTGCTCTCACAGCCTGAGAGTGCGGCTTTGTGTTCTTTTCAGCAAACATGTTCACCGGCGCCATTTGCGAGTATCTCAAGTTCCTGCGAGCAATGGGGATGAAGCCCCTCATGCTTGCCTGCCTGGCCAGTGTCCTCTGTGTGTACGCGTCGTACACGCCATGCGACAGCTGTGCTTCGTCATCGCCCTCTGTCATTACTGACATTCCGCGCCTCAGACATGGAGTTTCGCTTCAGGATGCCTCTTTTCTGCCCTGTTGCCATTCAGGTTGCGCCTTCTCTATTCAATTCTTGTACTATGACGCTTGTAGTCACTGAGTAGACGGCTTTCCCATCACAATAGCAGTGCCGGTGTCCTGGCAATCACTCAGCTGCCATCCGGGCAAGCAGCAGCATGACCCACATGTGCCGTGGGTGTGCTGTCCTGGCATCCAGGAAGCTGACCTCCACTTGCCTTCACAGCGTTCCTCAGCAACTTCGCGACATGGCGCAGTAGAAACCTACGTCTCCCCTGGCTCAGGGGCCAAAATCTGAGTTGCATCCAAAATGCTGGAGGAGGTTGAGAGCGGTGAAGCGGTCATTTTCGGATGCCTTGCATTGGCATCAACAAGCCGCAACAGGCTTGTGAGAGCTGGCCTCTGGGTCGCTCAAGATCTTCGAAAGCTGTGCCAAATGACCGGGTCGCAGAAAATGGCCTACATCAATATTGCAGCGTCCCCAAACAAGCAGCATATGAAGGCAATGCATGCAGTATGCATGCTATCAGGAATGACATCTCCACACAAAACAGCCACTTGCACGTTGGCAGAGTTGTGCAAACTAGGCCGACTGCTGATCTCTGTGATGCAATGCTTCGACAATTCTCTGAGGACCCAGGGCCTTACGCCGGTTCAGCTCTCTTTCTCTCTCTCTCTCTCTCTCTTTCTTGTGTTTCTCTCTTTCTCTCTCTCTCTCTCTTTCCCGTGTTCTCGTCTTCTCTTCCTCTCTCTCTCTCTCTGTCTGCCTCCTTCTATGTCTGTCTATCTTTATATGTTGCTTTCTCTCTTTATTTCTTTTCTTTCTTTACTTCTTTCTTTGTTTCTTATTTATTTTATTCTACATTGATTTTCTATTTTTTTATTTCTTTCTGTCTGTCCGTCTGTCTGTCTTTCTCTCTGTCTCTGTCTCTGTCTCTCTCTCTCTCTCTCACTCTCGCTTTCTGAAGCTTGCCAAAGATGCACCTTGGAAACCCAGACTCAGGCACCCGCTCCACAGTGATGAGTTTCTTGGTTGCTCCTTTGACCTTGAGTGCAATATCCGTGAAACGGGTTTTTGCACATCGAGGATCATTGCTCGCCTTCACCTCCTCCACTGCCACACCAGCGCTCAGCGAATCCACTTTCTGGCCGTGACCAAAAGCGCTGTCAACAATCAGCCGGTCGTGACATGTCACTATGTATCAGGTCCCCTTCACCAGGGTCCACTGTCATCAGTACGGCGACCCTGCTTTTGTTTCGAGCCCCAGCCTGTTTTTTGCCCAGCCAAAAAGTGCGAATCCTTCATGGCCGCACCTTGTACGGCACGTCCACGGGGGTGGCATGCTGGAACATGGGCTGGTACCTTCGCATATTGACAATATCTGCAAACGAATTTTCTTGTCTCGCAGAATGGCCGAAGTCCCTGAACAAAGCGCACTCGAACTTGACATCGGGGACAAGATCTTCCACCTTCACAAACGACGCAATGTGCTCAAGTCCGCTCCATCGAGGCAGCTCAAAGTCAACCAATGAGAGACTAGAAGGCAAATTTGCGACTAGGCCAATCAATCCCTGCCGCCTCCTTGCCGCCCTTGTCGCAGCCACACTTTCCACACTCCGTTCCCTCGGCAACAGATTAGTTGGCTCGTAATTGTGATCCCAGCCCCAGAATCATCATCATCGTCGTCATCATCACCATCACCATCACCATCATCATCATCATCCTCGTCGTCGTCGTCGCCATCCTCATCATCATCATCGTGAGCATCAGCATCATTCACCGTCATCATCTTATAGATTATGTCCGCCAACATTGCTCGGCGTGTCGGACACCTAAGAGAGGATAGAGGATAACCCCCCCCCCTAACCCCCCCCCCCGCCCGACGTCTGATACGTAGGGTACAGGAGGGGGGGGGAGGGTCCCCCACGTACCGCGCGGTGATTTGATGACGTTCCGTCTTCGGGGGGCCGGCTCGATTCCCCCTGCCGGCTCTTTGCTGGTTTGGGTTTCTGCCTCCTTTTGCCGAAAATCTGGAAAAACTCTGTGTTTTTGGACCGCTGGAAAAACCGTGTTTGTGGCGGGAAATACTGGGGAGCAAAGGGGAAATGCAAGGAAGTGCAAGGAAATGAGGGGAGGATATAGGAAGTCGACATGACAGGAAAGCAACGGGAAATGAAAGGGAAACAAAGGGGAACTGAAAGGGAAACAAAGCAAGGGGAGTGCAGGAGAATGAAAGGGAAACAAAGCACGAGGAAACCAATCGGCACGACGGGAGATGTAGGGAAATGACTCGCAACGAAAGAACGGGACATACATGGAAAATGAAGCGGACATACCGAGAAAATGTCAGGGACATGAAGGGGGAGTTGAAAGGAATGGAAGGGACATGATACTGGCGAGCAAAGGGGAAATGCAGGGAAGTGCAAGGAAATGAGGGTGGGAAATAGGAAGTCGACATGATAGGAAAGCGACGGGAAACGAAAGGGAAACAAAGGGGAACTGAAAGGGACATGACAGGGACAGAAATGAAAACAAGGGGAGTGCAGGGGAATGAAAGGGAAACAAAGCAAGGGGAGTGCAGGGGAATGAAAGGGAAACAAAGCACAAGGAAACCAATCGGCACGACGGGAGACGAAAGAACGGGACACACATGGAAAATGAAGCGGACATACCGAGAAAATGTCAGGGACATGAAGGGCATGACCAGGACATCATGCAAAACGTGAAAAGGACATGAAGGGGAAATCAAGGGGAAAGCCAGTAGTGAGATGACAGTTCAGGGTCATGAAGCGGCAGTGCCCGGACATCGAGGCAACTCAGGGGGGACGTTACGCTGCAATGCAGAGACAGAGAGAGAGAGAGAGAGAGAGAGAGAGAGAGAGACAGAGAGAGCGAGAAAGAGAGAGAGAGAGAGAGAGAGAGAGACAGACAGAGACGGAGACAGAGCCAGAGTCAGAGAAAGAGACAGCGAAAGAGACAGACTGAGAGAGAGAGAGAGAGAGAAAGAGAGAGACAGAGAAAGAGAGACACAGAAAGACAGAGAGATAGAGAGAGACGGAGAGAAAGAGCGAGAAAGAGAGAGAGAGAGAGAGAGAGAGAGAGAGAGACTAGGTCCTCCAGTAGAGAGGTTAGAATTAGGGTACCCTTTTTCTGTAGAGGGGCGTGAACAGGAAGGAGACAGGGAGACAGAAAGAGACAGAGAAACAGAGACATAGAGAGAGAGAGAGAGACGGAGAGAGAGAGAGACAGATAGAGAGAGACAGAGAGAGGAAGATTGAGGAGAGAGAGGCTTGGGGGGATGGGGAGGATGGGGAGCACAGGGAGGGAGAGAGGACGACAGAACACACGAGGGAGACAAGGGAGAGAGGAAGGAGGAGAAAAGGGAGAGGACAATGTCGGCGGACTGAGCCGGAGGCTCTACAGTTGTTAAAGGCACCGCTGGCAATGCTGGGGATGCTGGGCGTGCAAAGTGGCGACGTTTTGGAACAAATGCTAACGGCGGGCAAGTTCATTTGCTTTGCTTGTTTTCTTCTGTAGCCTGGCTGGTGATGCTGGGATGCGAAGGGCATCATCATCATCATCATCATCATCATCGTCATCATCGTCATCATCGTCATCATCATCATTGTCATCACCAACACCAACATCAACATCACGTCGGCATCATCATGATCCTTATCAGCATCGTAATCACCAACATCATCATCATCATCATCATCATCATCATCATCATCATCATCATCATCATCATAATCATCATAATCATCATCATCATCATCATCATCATCATCATCATCATCATCATCATCATCATCATCATCATCCTCAGCATCATCATTCAATGGTTCCATTAGGCAGTGTCGAAGAGAAACGCAAGAAAAAACGCAAAAAGGCTGGGGGAAAAAAAAACACACAATCCATGTCCCCATTGGGGTTGGCGGAACAGGGCGGCAGCCCTGAAATGAAATGTTTGACCTCAGCCACAAATCGACGGCCACATAAAATTCGGTTTTACTGCGAGTTCAACCTGCTTCCACATTTGGCCACAAAAAGGGTCCCTTTCGATCCTAAGGATCCTCCACAACTGCTACAGGCTTCTGGCCGCAGCGTACCCAGCAGGTGCCTTCTGGCGGGACCAATCGCAAATTTCTTGGAGAAAATTAAGCCCCGCACGCCGCTCATCTTCAAAGCCACAGAATCTTCACAAGATACTTTGCTGTGCAACGCGTCGCAACACGTGACATTTTTGTATGTTGTGGCAATCAGTTGAAGTGCAAAGTGATTTCCTCCGGCTCATGCCAATAAGTTCAGAAGCGTCCGTTTGTTCTTTCTGCTGTCAAAGCACGCAATGCGGCAACAAGGAAATTAGCATGTACGCAGGACAAATATCGAAAAGTCGCAATGTTGGCAAGCCTGATTTGGTAGCCAGTTTTTTCTTCAAGGCAGCGCATCTTTGCAGTTCGTCTGTGCTAACGAACACTCTGCAAAGCGGCGTGCAAAGCTGTACATGCTAAATCTATCTCCGCCCCTCAACCGATGACAAGGGGTCACAAGCTTTCACAAGCTATCTGCGCGCAAGAACCTAGGACGTGAGCTGGCATTCTATTTACAACTCCCCGAGGATTGGATAACCTCAGGATACAGCTCTCGATAGTGCATGGGCAAGGCAAAGCAGAGGCAAAGCTGAGCTCGTGACTCAGCAGCGAATCTATGCAGCGCTTCATCGCTGGTACCTCAACGAAATGTGCACTCAGTCCAGTATTTGTTTCTATTGAAACGACCTTCAGGGCGCGGCCGAGGTTTCTCTGGTGCATTGCCGCAAGTCTGCCCCGGCCACAGTGCCGAAGGTGACTTCACATGCCTCGCACCGTGACACTCGTGACACGTGTGACACTTGTGACACTTGCCCCACTGGCAGCCTCAACAAGCGAAATTTGACCAAACCTTTCGCCCCCTGAGCCTTGGCACCAATGGCTGTACTTGTTGATACAAACCTGTGGTAAGGCTGTCAGTTCATGTCAGCCAGTGTTCAGCCATCTCCTTTCAGCATGTTGTGGACGCCACTAAACATTCCGAATCTCAAATATGTCATATGTATTAGTATAGAACATGTTGACTTGCAGAGAACTGGCTGAGGTGCAAACAGCACAACGGCATGCCAAAGATCACTGCCAATGACCTGTATGTACCTGCCCACACCCTCAAGCTGTCAAGCATATTCTTGCAATTGGTCATGCTTCTTGGCCCAACTTGGTCAGCAATTCTGCCTTTATTCTCAGAATCACAGAAGCACACCCTTCAGTACTCCTCCTCGCTGGACGGCTGGAGATTCCTATGGGCATCTTGCGACCTTCTGCGCGCTTCATCACCAACTTGTCGATTTGCACTGACTTGTTTCTGTGACTTAGGTTGTCTGCTGCGAGATCCATGGCTTTGCTTGCATCTGCATGATTGGTTCAGTTTCGGGAGATCGCCATTGGCCGCTGACTCTATGGAGTACAGCCCTGCTTGCTATCACCATTTGCAGCATATGCGCAGGCTGTGTCTTGCAGCTCCGCACACACAAACTAGTGAGGACGCTGCGTCTTCTATGCGGATACTTTCTCCCTGAAGCCCAGCCCCTGTCAGAGTTGCATGTTGACTTGAGGCAAAGTCACGCTCTGCGCAGTACTGGAATCTGCTCTGACTGCTTGCTTCCGAGAGAGAGAGAGAGAGAGAGAGAGGGAGGGAGGGAGGGAGGGAGGGAGGGAGGGAGGGACTCTCTTTCTCTGTCTCTCTCTCTCTCTCTCTTTATCTCCCTATCTCTCCCTCTCTCTCTCTCTGTCTTCAGGCAATCAGCGTCATGGATTTTCCTTCCAGGCAGCCTTTCCTTGCCAGCAGTCAGGCGCAATCTTCAGCAACGAACCCGCTTGTTGATTCTCGTTTCAGCACAGTCTCATGCACAAGCGAGTTGTCATTTTTCTGAGGCTGAAAGTTTGATTTGGTTTGGGTAAAACTGCATGTTGATGACTATGTTGTATCAAGCGCATGTGCCTGGTGTGCATGACTGTCCATTTAACAAGGCAAAAAGCATTGCAATTGCAAATTGCAATGCGACTCAGCAAATCCCCAGGGCACTCTGCTGGTTGTCGACCACTGTCCTGCCTGGCGCCATGCTGAAGCTTCAACTGTCAATGGGTATCGGTGTTCGATGTGTTTGATGTGTTTGCTAAACCATGACAGCTGGGCATGTACAGCTGCCCTGTTCTTGCCACCGCAAGCAAGAATGCCTGCAGTTCGCGTCAGCAACTGTTGGAAAACTGTACTAGTGGATGACCATACATCTAAGGTCGATGCCAAAAGCAGCGTATATCCTAGCGCATAAACAACATGCGGTTTCAGTTCTTCCGGGCCTGAGCTTCTGGCGGGTAACTGTCCACGCTCTTGCGGCTAGGCTTCTTTGTTTCAAGCCTCAGTCTGAGAGCGAAGTTCCATCACCGACAACTTGAATGAAACCAGCAAGCTAAGCAGGTCACTTTCTATGTCTTTCCGCAGATCCTGGGCAGCTGCTCGACCTGCCCCGTCCCAGGCGGAAACTCTGAAAACAATTTGCGTGTAGAGTGAGCACCTCTTACCGTCTTGAGCGACATGTCCATCAGTTTAGATCCTCAGAACTCTCCCAGGTTAGACCAGGCTGGCCCAATCTGCGAACAGCCCTTGAAACCCTTTTCTCAAGAGTCAAGTGCCACGCGTACCCTGAAATCTCGCGCAAAGTGACCAGCGGTGAGTTTGTCCTTGGCCAAGGCGGGCAAAGCAGCTTTGGTGCTTTGTCAGGTGATGTGTCTCGCTCAATGTGCCAACTTGTAGCTGGCCTCGAAGCAAAGGGAATGCGCCTGGCATGGGTCAAACATGCAAAGATCTAAAGCTTGGCAACATTTCAAACGCTGCCCGAGCGTATTCTCAGCTCAATCGCATGCCAAAGTTG